CTTCCTTCCTTCCTTCCTTCCTTCCTTCCTTCCTTCCTTCTCTCTTGACCTCTTTCCTTCCTTCCTTCCTTCTTTCCTTCCTCCCTTTCCTTCCTTCCATCCTTCCTCCCTCCCTTCCTCCCTTCCTTCCTTCCACCCTTCCTCCCTTCCTCCCTCCCTCCCTCCCTTCCTCCCTTCCTTCCTTCCTTCCCCATACAAGTTAGGCTGACTTTTCTCTGAAAGGCAACAAAATTGCCCCCGACATTTGATTGGACCAGTCCCTCTCTTGATGTGACTTCCTGACAGCTCTGTCCATATTGATGTGGCTTCCCGGTCACTTAAGGGCATAAAAAGGGCCACCGATGTGGAGTCCAGATCTAGACAGCTGACATTCTAAGGCTCTCGAGCAGCTGTATCCTGCCCTGCTGACTAGATTTTTCTGTATGGAGGCCAGGAGGACCGTGTCTACCCAAGCTAAGTGCTGGAGTATCTTTACAGAATAACTTCTTTCTGCTCTGGCTAAGTAAACCTCCTTTTTAAATTGTTAAATAAGTCAATGACGCCTCATTTCATTCCAGCATTGAACCTGAACTAACACGGTACCAGCCTGCATCTGGGCCATCCATAACATATCCCTTTTCTATTCATGACCTTTTAAAGGGGTAGCTTACTCAGCAGGTGGTATCTGGTTCAGGTGGTCAGCAGCACTGAAACTCATTCATACATGAGCATCATTTCACTACAGAGTACAATTTACCATGAAGCCTAGATGGAGTTAGAAAATTACTTCCCCCTATGCTGAATTTTAAATGTACTGATAATGTGGAATCCTTGACTTGTACTCACATAATATTCCATTTCATGCATCACTGAATATTAGCAAAAGGGTTGAAAAAGCAGTATTATTAAAGCTTGAATTTTAACAGAATTTAAAGAAACATATAATTGATTGAATTTCATCAAAAGACAGTATGTAGTTAATTGGTAATGTGCATTCCCTGATCACCAGGAACCAATTATTATTTTTAAAAAAATTATGTCTTCACCATTGTTGGTCTAAAAATTACAGGTGCAAAAATTTTATGCCCTTTTTGTTCTTAAAAGTATAATTGTTTTATCTGAGAGAAAAATACAATGAAATGTTCTCCCATAACAGTTTATAGCATTAATATAAATAATACGATTATCAAATTCAGTGATGACTAGTAACCAAGGGATAGAGAAATTAATAGGTTCAGTAAAACTCCGTGAATTCTCACTACCAAACAGGAGACCCATTTTGAATTACATCAACTATTGTGGGGCCAAACCAATAAATTGTAAGAAAAATTGAAGTATTTTATCTCACAAGAGTATATGCTTCCTGCTCTCAAATTTTAATCTGATTAATTAATCAATTAATTAATGCTAATTTGAATAGCATCCTGGTCAAAGAAAAGTACATCAATAAGGCTGCCTTCTACACTAGAGCGTCTTAAACTTTTTCCACTTGTGACCCCTTTTTGTGTTTCAGGAGTGTTGGTGCTGTGTGGCCTGAGGGCATGCGCAGTGCAAAGTGTACATGCTTTGTGTTCAGAACCAAGGCTTCAGGGAAGTTGCAGGATGCAACACGAAGGCGCTGCCAGAAACACGTTGGAGTCTTTTCGCGTGTGATTTTGAATTAATTTTTGTTCGTTGAGCATTCAGAAACCTTTTACTGTTGCCAAACTTTTTGTGACTCCGTGTGGAGTCGTGGCCCATAGTTAAAGCAGTGCTGTACAGAGCTCTTCGGTGCCTCCCCATGACATGGAGGGGGGCCCTCAGCTCTCCAGTTTGTGCCAGGCAAGTATAAGAACTGGAGGGACCTCTCAAGAGGGAAAGGCTTCAAGCCAGAGCCTGGGATGGACCAAACATCTTGTCTGGGGATCAGTTGGCTGAGAGCAAAGAGGTGTATCAACAGAGGATTAGGCGCCAAGTTTTGGAGTCTTTTGGCCACATCAACTCATGAAATAGTCTTCAAGGGCTGTGGTCTCCAAGATGTTTTGATCCTGTACCCCTATCAGTAAAAAAAAATTTGAGAATGCACACATGTAGTACTGTAGGTAATATATTATAGAATATTTATTACATATTAAATATATATTTATAAACTAAATGCACATACTACTGTCATGTATTAAATTACTGTATACATGTACTGTTATAATATATACATTATAAACTACACATAAAAATAGGAATTAAAAAGATTGAAATAATGATGAAAATAATACTAAATAATTTTTATTTTATTTATTAACAGTGCAAAACTCTTTTGGTCTCACTCAGATATTATTAAAGTTTTATTTTTAGTAAAAGCAATGTGATGTAATGTGCTTCATTATTTTTGAAAATCTTAATTTAACACTGCAATACAGCAATTTGCAGGTCTGTTCAGTTTATTTCAGTGCTTGGTTTTGATAACTAATAGCTAGAAATGATACTTTGCAAAGATAAGCAGTTCTCAACGGCAGAAGTACATTGTTGGCCGTGCTACCTTTAAAGCTTCCAGGTGAGTTCTGAAAGTCACTCAGGCCTGTTGTTTAAATTTGTATTATTGTAATCAGTGTGGATCATATTCTGTCTTTGCTTGCTTTCCTGTGTACCATTTCATACATATTTTTTTTCCTTTTTGCTTACATAAAAATGCTGCTATAAATACCTTGGTATAACTGAGACTTTTTCTTGCAGTTCATTCTTGACCTTGGCATATATACCTGATAGCACGATATAACTGAGTCAAAGACAGGAACAATTTAGTAAGTTTTTTCACAGGGTTCAGAATTGTTTTCCAGAAAATCTGGGCCACCAGTTTACAGCTCCGTCTCCAAGTGTCCACAGCCCAGCTAACAGTGATGATTTCTGTCTTTTATCATCTTTGACACTTTGAGGGGTCTAGCTTTTCAGAATTCAAAAATTACCATTTTATTATTATTAGTGACCTGATCGTTATTATATGTAATGTTTACAGTGATCTTTAAATGGTTGTTGATAACTTGCAAGTTTTTCTTTTGAAAAGTATTTGTTTATAGCCTTTGACCATTTGTTGTTTGGTTACTGACTTCTGATCATACACACAGACACACATGGATGAAATCTTTTTCTTAGATATTAGGCATTAGTAAGAGACATTTGATACATTTTTGTTTGTACTTAATGCTTTCTCTTTTGTTCTAGCATCAGTGATTTCATGGACAGAAAAAGCTTTACTTTTATTTAATTAAATTTTCTCCTTTCTCTTTTATGGTCATCTTTATCCCTAGATGGATTAATATTTATTTCCCTAGTCACAGTTCTGAAAGATATCTCCTTCCATTTGCCACTGATTTTTTCATGTTGTAACTTTTTATATTTAAACTACATATCTATTTATAGGTTATAATACAGTGTCCTAATTTTTATCAATCTGCTTTAAGTTCCTGTCAAATGGGGAGTCTTTTCCCAAATAGTTTATGTTCTGGGTGACAACATGTAGTTATATCTGATTCTTAGTCCTTTAGTCTATTATATCGATATATTTCTGAACTTTTTAAACCAGTATAAAGTAATGATGATTATTTTATAATATGGTTTAAGGTTTGGAAGTGCTGTTCCTTTTTCATTCCTACTCTTAAGAAATTTCCTTGACAGCCTAGACCTTTTGTTTCTCCTAATAAATTTTTATTATTTTATCTACTTCTAATCATTATATCATCATTTATGTGACATCCTTATTTTTATTATATTGACACCGCCCAGCCATGAGCAATGACTATCCCTCCAATTTTTTGTCTTCCTTTATTTTTGTAAAGAGTAGATCATTATTGTAAATATTTAAGTCCTGATTGTCTGGCTAAGTTAATTAGTAGGTGTGTGTGTGTGTGTGTGTGTGTGTGTGTGTGTGTGTGTGTGTATGTTTTATAGTTATCCTTAATGAAAATTCTCTATTATTTTCTCCTACATGATTTTGTCACTGTTTTATTGAAATGCTGGTGATTTGGTTGACTTTATTGTGTATTCAGACTGAACTGACATTATAAATCTTCTTGATTATTTGGCTTGCTAATTCTGTATGATTTTGTTGTCTTTAAATGAGAACTATTTTAAGCTATTCTTTGCTTGTGTTTATATCTGTAATTTTTCTTTCCTAGTTTTTTTTTTAATTTTAGTCATGTCTTTGTCATCTTAAGGGATTTTTACATTTATGAATGCTGTTTTTGTCATTTTTTTATTTATTGATAAAATAATGTCTTTTTAGTTTTTTTGTGGTTTGATTAATTATTCTAATTGTTTCTTGATATTGAATCACACTTGAATACTTGGTATAATTCCAACTTAGTTGTAGTAATTTTTCTTGGATATATTGTCTTGGCCTCTTTGCTAAAATTTTATTTTAAAATTTTTTTGCATCAATATTTGTTACTGAGATTTGTCTGTAGTTAAATTTCTTTGGCTTATCTCACTGAATTTTGGGTATCAGATCTGTAATTATCTCATAGAGAGACTTTAGTAGAGAGCCTTCTCAGTTATTGACAATAGATTTTATAACAAAGATATGTTTACTTTGCTTTTTAAATGTTTTATGTATTTCACTTTTGAATTCATGTAGACCTTCTCCCCTGCAGTCTCCCCCCACCTCCTTTAGTAGTTCCTTCATGGTTTGCTCAATATTCAATTTCTGAGATTAGATATTTTAAGAACTCCATTTATTGTTTTAATTTGGGTATTTTGTATTTTTGTAGGTAATTATCCATTTCTTTTCATTTCTTACCTGAAATAAATCATTGTGTATAGCAGTTTTTGATCACTTTCTATTTCTTCTCTTCACTTTGTTCATTTTTCATTTTTCTAATTTTATTTTCCTTTCTTTTTGATGAGTATAGTAAAGGTTTATTAATTATATTTTAAATGAATGCTCATTTTTCTTTATAATTTATAGAGGATTTGCAAAAGAATTGTGCAGCTTTAAGCTTTAATAGCTTAAATCAAAGATGGGACATCCTACAGTAGCTTTTTATTTTGCTTTTTGATATTAATTTCTTATTTTTTGTTAATTTGTTGATTTTCTAGGTTTTTTTAAGTTGCATAATTGGTTCATTAATCCCTTCTCTTTTTTTGTTACTGTTTTATGTTTTCAGAGATATAATTTTTCCTCTGAGGACTGCTTTAGATGCATCCAAAAAATTTTGGTATGTTGTCTCATTGTTTTTCTTTTTCATTGTTATTGTTTCTATGATTCATTCTTTGAACCACTCATTGCTTAATATGTCATTAGTATTCATTTAAGCCTACATCTTTAGCATGATAAATTATTTTATAATATCATAATCCATAAAGGATATGCTTAATATTGCTACCTTTTTATATTTGTTCATAATTTCTTTGTATCTTAGCAAAAAAAAAAGTTTTTATGATACTGAGAAAATGGATATATTGAAAAATCTCAGATTATTTCTTGTGTCCTTTAAGTACAATTTTTCAAACAGACTATTCAGCTTTGAGGTTTTCTTCTGGTTTATCTTTTGAGTTAGATTTTCCTATCTCTGAAAGAGGAACATTAAACTTTCCTACAACTATTGTGTTATTATCCATGCCTTCTTGAAATTTTAGTAACTTTTCTACTACAAATTGTTGGGTTTTACCTTAGTTATTCTAACATTCTCTTCCATTTTATTGGGGTGAGGGTATAATTAGTTTGCATTTAGGATTGTAAGGGTTACACTTGCGTTTTCTTCCATTTCTTTCTCTTCCATTGATTTACCTTCTCTTTTAAGTAAGGATTTAGTAATGTGTCTAATCCTGCTCATTCTCTTAGGAGCCCAGTTTTCTTCCATAGGCTTTTCCTATCCTTCCATTTTCATGCCCTATCCCAAGGTCCTTGACTTAAATTATTCTTTTCCCTTCTCCTAGTCCAGATAAGAGTTTAGAATCCTCCTTTGTGCCTTCATCCCATTCATTCTTCTAACTCTGAGTAACATTCATTTGTGGTACCCTTTTGGGAGAAGTATTAATTGACTTCATGTCTCTCCTTGTTTCCTTCTCATTCTAGTCTTTTCTGAACTCCACATAGAGATTCCGGATGAAAAGGCCCTGCTCTCTGTCCTCTAAACTGTTCATCTGTTAACTCTAGAAAAGTTCTTGTGTGCTTTCTCCTTCCCAATATATATTTTTAAGTTTAGAGGGTTTTTTTTTGGAGTGGCATTCTGATGAGCCAAAACTCTCAGAAATATTAATTCAAGAAGGAGGGAGTTCCATGTGGTAGAAGTCACTCTTCCTCCTGCATCCACGAGTCATGGTCCTGCCGCCGGCAAGACCTGTGTCATATTCTATATTCTTCCTCTGGATCTGTGTCTCAAACTTACCCTAGATGTTAGGTGCCCCCAGAGGCGTTCTTCTGCAATGGTTTGTGGTTCTTATAAGCACAGTCGTTTCTCAGAAAAGAAGTCTCCTGTGTCTGCTCCCCCCAGACAAAATCTGGTAGGAAGCCCTTGTCACTTCTCCCTCCTCCTGCTCTGTGTGATCCTGCTCCGGCTTCTAGTCATCAGAACTCTTCCGAGGACAAGACGCATTCCCTCTTCTCCCACATCCCTTCCATCAGCCGCACTTGCCCTGTGTTCTCACAGCTCCCCTGGTCCACTCCTCCTTCCTCTCATCTTAAGTGAAGACAATTGCGCTGGAGCCTAAGTCTGCCATCCTCTTGTCTCTTGCCTCCACTCTCTCTAACTGACCCCACACTTTGTGTTAGCCCCACTTCCTCCCAGATGCTTCGTTTATGGAGAATATGTTTTAGGCTGTACAATATTAATTCAGTTATTTTCCCTTCCTCCTTCCCAACTCTTTAAACTTTTTTTTTTGCTTTTTTTTTTTTTGGTAATGCTATTGAGGTTAAGTGACTTGCCCAGGGTCACATAGCTAATAAGTGTTAAGTGTCTGAGGCTGGATTTGAACTCAAGTTCTCCTGACTCCAAGGCCAGAGCTCTATTCACTGCGCCACCTAGCTGTCCCCTCTTTAAACTTCTTTTACTCTGTCTTTCCTCAGTTTCTTTGACCTATAGATGCTAGAATTCTAGATTTAGAACAGGATGGAACCGTAGAGATCATTTAATTTAACTTTTTTATTTTATAAGTTTGAAATTTGAGGCTAAAGGGGGTTAAGCACATGGCCAAGGTCACACAGGTCGACAGTAGCCAGTTTTCAAACCCAGGTCCTCTGACTCCAAATCTAGCCTTGATTCCCCCATTGCACTAGATCTCTTGGTTCTCTCTTTGCCCCTTTTTTGGCCAATATGTGATTTAAAAAAATAAGTAAAGCCTTGTCTAACTTCAGAATCACGAGAGTTTATTTTACACATTAGTCTTTTCTTATTAACTCTATTTACTTCATTTTCCTCCCAAAGTTTTTTGTTTGTTTTCAAGCCTGGATCTCCTCCCTACTTTTTTCCCATTCTAGAAGTATAGCAACCCCTAACTGAGCTGGCCCAGCTATTGCATTTCTGACCTTTCCTTAGGCAGTCTGGTGGTTCACCACTGTGGGGTCTCATTGTATTGGTGCAAGACTTAGTAGGACCACTTGGTCACCTTATTCCCTCTGCATCCAGAACTCCCAAGCTTAGGCAGTCCACTAGCTTCAGCCTCCTCAGCAGTAGGAATTATAGGTGGGGGCCATCATGCTCCAAACTTCCTTACTTTTTTATGTCTCTCTCATTCAAAGTGCCTGCTTCTGGTTTCTAATGACATTTTGCATTGCTGTTCAAGTTTAATTGTGCAATTTATATTATTCAGAGGGTTCTTATTTTCTTTGCTTTTTACAACATAATAATAGCCTAATGCCTCCTTTAATTTCTCATAAATGAGTAGTACAGGATTAGTCAAATCAGTTTTTCCATGATAGATAAGAAATGAATTTTAAAACTACATTCCTTGGTGATTAAAGTTTGGGGTTTCTATTAGTGGTCTGCACATTATTTCAACCAACTTACTGTTCTTTGTTTTTTAATACTTCTGGGTAAATTTCTGTTATTAATTCCTGCAGTTTGTTAATTAGGCTTTTCAATTCATTGTGTGTTTTTTTTCTTTCTAAGAGACCCGTACTTTTCAAAATTACCTCTGTGAATTTTGTCTTCAAGATCAATCACTTTGGGTAGTATATAATGTTTTATGTTGCTGTCCTGCCGCTTTTCCTTCACATTTTTATTTGTGAGGTCTAAATTCACCTTTTTCAGAGAATGCACAGTTTTGAAGAGTTTCTCCATTATGTTTTCTAAACTGTCTGATGCCATTGGTTCCCAATTTAATTTCCCTACTATTTCTTCTTTCAATTTTCCTGTTCCTTTGAACCACTTGGAGTTTCTTTATATACTTTCCTTATTGCTCAGGGTTCTTGTAGAATTTTTTGTCTTCTTTCTTTTTAGTGAAATTTTCAGGTTGCTTTCTATTACTTCATGGTATGGATTCATTGGTTGCATCCTTTTTCCAGTTTGTTTATTCACTTTTCCTTGTCCCACAACTTTCTCTTTGAACCTTCTTCCTATATGACCAATCAGGCCTGCAAAATGGCTTCTCCTCCAGCTACTATCATTGTGTTTTTTCTCTGAGGAGGCCAGTAGAGCCCGGACACTTCAAAGTCTTCTTGTGTTGAGGGGTGAGGGTGTCTGGTTGGCTCCTTGTCTTATGGAAACTCCATGAGGAACAGGTCACAGTTGGTTTTATATTTCCTTCCCCTCACCTTTCTCATTTTTTTCTGATCTGCTTATTCCCCAAGTAAAAGAAATGACTGAGTTTTACAAAATTTGTTATGCTACTGAATGTAACAAAGCATACGTTAAGTCTGATTGGTAGGTTAATCTGGTAACAATGGTGATGATGATAATGGTGATGATGACAGTGATGATGGTAATGGTGATGATGGTGATGATGACAGCGATGATAGAACAGTGATGATGGTCATGGAGATGAGGATGGTGGTGGTGGTGATGATGACAACAATGATGGTAATGGTGATGATGATGATAACAAAAAAGATGATGATGGTGGTGGTGGTGGTGATGATGATGAAACTCCTTTAGAAGTAAGAAAGATCAAAGATCCATTGTAGATATTAATTTAGCAGGAAGGAAGGCAAGCTTTTAAAAATGCTACTGAATGTGGTAAATTTGATATTTGATGTATGCTTTTCATTTAAATTGTCATCCTTGGCATCTCAAGGGCATTCATGTTAATGAATTTCTTTTATTTGCTGACAGTTCAATAATATGTACCAATCTTTCTAAGCAGTTCTAATTGCAATGATGAAAATGGCATCATAATTGTGTAGTGGTATAAAAATCAATATTTTTCACTATAAATACCCATCTTTAGGATTTTTAATAATTCTAATGTTAAAAAACCCTGCAATAAAACTTTGCAATAAAGACCCACACTTAGAGGGAATGTTTTTTTCTCTTATTATTTGATCCTTAGTCTTTGTCCAGTTCTAAGTTGCAGAGCCCCTAAAATGTCCTTCCTGGCTTGTCTAGTCTAACTTAAAGAACATTAGCCTCTGTTGCGATGTGTGGGGCACCAAGAAAGGAAAATGTCTCAGGACTTTAGGAATTCTGTAGGAGTCATGATAATAATAAAAAAGAAATGCTTAAAAACTTCCCCACTCTCCTCCAGGGATGTAGATTCTATGTTCAGCATGTCCAAAGGACATGTGCGGTCCCTCGACATCTTCCTTACTTCTCGGGTTGGGCAAAGACAGATGGGGAATGTGCAGTGGGGAGACCACTTTCAGAATGCCTTTGCCTCTCCCTATCATATGCCATCTCCCAATCCCATGAAGAGGAGACGGGGGACTTTGAGGAGTGCCCCTTTCCTTTAGAGTCATTACCTACGGGGGGCTGCTGTGATTGTGCGAAACCCTTTAGCTCCTCCCTGAATATCATTCACTCAACCTGGCATCTAGATTTTGTCATCTAGGGACTAAGTTTGTCTGCTAGAAAACCAGTCATGATCCTTCGCCGTTTAAACATTTTCTCTCTGCTATCCCATTCAAACCCTGGAAAGTGGTTGTCAGGATTCAAAGATCCTGCTTTGCCAAATGAATCCCTGCCAAACACCTGGTACCCCCACATATCTGTGCACATAAGGACACAGTCCTCAGCCAAACCAGCAGAAGAAAAAAGGGTGGCGGAGACAGCCACAAATAGAAACTCGACTCTTTTGGAACTCGAGAGCAAACATGAATTTATTATGCTCCTGCTGGGAAGCATGTGCAGGGAAGAGCAGACATTCTCACGTACACTCATTACTTGATTTTTCTCTGTCAAGCTAACGGCCTGGGCAGTGTTTCTTTTTAATTGTGCTACTTTTAATAAAATGGGCCTTACGCTCTTGCTGCCAGTTGTCACAGCTAATTTGGATAATACCCGTTTGCCGCTGTTAGGAGCTGCTCAACTAAAAATGTATCATGATCAACTGCACACAGGAAAAAGCTCCTTTATACCAAGACAGTCTGAGCTTGACATCAGTAGGCGTATCCTGGCACTTGGCTGGCAGGCACACAACTCACAGAGTGGTGACAATTTCCATGGTGGCTTGTCTCATCTCCAAGATCTTCTGGAGATGCCATATTGACGCACAAAATGTGGCTGTCCATTTCTGGAAGGCCCAGGTGTTCTAACCAACCTGGTTGAGTCTCTCTTCTGCCCCCTGACTGATCCCAAATGATTGCCCCCTAGAGTTGCTCCTCTGATTCCGAAAAGCCTCTTGCCCCACTCCCAGAGAGCCAACACTATTATGTGTTGGATCCCAGCTGTTCCTTAGCCTGAATTGGCTGGATTACTCTTAGTCTGCTTGTCTCTGTGATGTCCAAAGGTGCCATTCTCTACAAAGCACAGACCTCATATCCCCTCTGATATGTTTCGGAGAACAAAATTCCCCAGTCTCTCTAGCTTCATGAGAATTGCGTGGTCTCCTTCCTATAATGAGTTCACAGTCCTTTTGTTAACATGCCATATTTTATACCCATGCCACCCACCCCTACACTTATGGAAATGAGATTTTGAACCCAATATAGAATTCTTATTAAAATCTATTGGATTTTGTCTAATTAAATTTGGCCTACCATCCTAACCTACCAATTTCTTCATAAGCTTATGAAATGAGGTCCTGAATCTCCTTCTTGACAATCTTAATGATTTCTAGAATGATTTAGAGGCAGCAATGGGAAATAGGGCATAGATTCAAGACTCCTGGAGGTCTAGCTCTAGAATTGTCTGGCTTCCAGAGAGAATGGTGATGTGGGAACAAGATCTCAACAGTCCTTGCTTTGTGAAAGGAGGGTTTAAGCAGATCCTTCTCTGGGCCTCCATTTTCTCACTTGTAAAGTGAGGGAGGGCTGTTCTATGTATTTTATTTCATGTGTTTAAAAAATATTATTCTGAGAAGGGGTCTATAGGTTTCACCAGACCCATGAGGCCCATGACACAAAAACAGTTAGGAATTCCTGGACTAGATGGGCCTAAGAATCCCCCCTGTTCTAAATTATATGGTCCCATAATAGGGAGAGGATATCTTTTACAAAAGAAACAGTAGTTCATCAACCCAAAAACCACAGATTCTTTTGCTTCCCCCGATAAACATCTTTTAAGTGACCTCATAAGACACACATGAGAACACACAACAAGAATATATTTTTAGTGGTCAGTACCCCAGTTTTTAGCAGCTACTGTAGTCTAACTGCAATGTAAAAAGTCATCACAGGAGTCAGGCTAGATGGTGCAGTGGATAGAGTACTGGCCCTGGAGTCAGGAGGACCTGAGTTCAAATCCAGCCTCAGACACTTCACACTTACTAGCTGTGTGACCCTAGGCAAGTCACTTAACCCCATTGCCTAGCCAAAAAAAAAAAAACAAACCCAAAACAAATAAACAAAAAAAAGTCATCACAGGAGACCGCTGAGGCAAGCTTGGTGGTACAGTGGATTGAGTGTTGAATGTAGAATCAAGAAGTGCTGAGTTTGAATCTTGTTGTAGTCACTTAGTGGCTACGTGACCCTAGACAAGTCACTCTCAGCCTCATTTTCTTCATCTGTAAGGTGGGATAATTATAGCAGTTACCTCACCATGTTGTGACTATCAAGTGAGATAATATATGTAAAGCATTTTGCAAAACCTTAAAGCATGATATAAACACGCACTGTTATTGTTATTTAAGTTCACGAGGCCCAGAGTATACCACATATCTGAGCGTTGACTTGCTACACAAACACAAGTCATCTTGTCATAGTGGCTAGAGAGCCAGGCTGAAAGCCAGGAAGACCTGGGTTCAAGTCCTGCTTCTGACACAGACTGGCATAGCCCTGTCAGGACCTTGAGCAATTCTCTACTAAGACCCCGGGTTGTGGAGAGTGTGCTGACCTCCATTGGTAGAGGGTGCTCCTCAGCTTTATAGGCATGAGGTCATAGATCTGTTCCCAAGTCTGTCATTTCTATATATGTATCTCTATCTATCTGTGTATATAAAAGGTGTATTTTCCAATTACTTTATTTTAAAGTTAACTAATCACAAGGATGGACATTTGGAAAAACAAACAAACATTAGACAGCGTGTAAAATGTCCACCATTCTCAAGTGGGCAGTTTGGGGCATGGCAGTCGAAGGTGGCCAATCGCCATGAGGCCAGAGGCTAGTAAGTGAGGCAGTTGTTTAAAGAACTTCTCAGCACAAGCATCTTCTTCCCCCTAACTATCATAGAAGTACATTTGGATCATTACTTGGTTTGGTTTTTTTGTTTGTTTGTTTTTATTTTTGTTTTTTTGAGAGGCAGTTGGGATTAAGTGACTTGCCCAGGGTCACACAGCCAGTAAGTGTCAAGTGTCTGAGGCTGGATTTGAACTCAGGTCCTCCTGACTCCAGGGCTAGAGCTCTATCCACTGCACCACCTAGGTGCCCTTGGATCATTACTTGAGCAGCAAAGTTGAGGATAGGAGGAATCAGGAAGAGCAGGTACTATAAAATCAGCGTAGGTGAGAACAGAGAAGGGGCCCCGAACTATAGTGGGGACAGTGAAGAGGAAAAAAACCAAGCTAAAGATACTACAAAGGTATTTGGGTGACTGTGGGTATGTGCCTGGAGTTCTGGGGGGATGGTCATGGCATTAACAGAAATAGAGCAGAAGGGGGAAGGGGCTCCAGTTTAGAGAAGGAAGGTGATAAGCTCAGTCTTAAGACATGTTCATTTTGGGATGCCCAAAGAATATCCAGGAGCCAGTTGGAAATATGGGCCTAGAACTATGGGTGAGCTCGAAATGTAGATACAGGAGCCATCTGCATAAAGGTATTAACTGAAGCTGTTGGAAGAGATGGTTGGGATGCACGGAGCAACGTAGGGTTAGCCATCTTATATAGAAAAGTTGAATGGGGCTCCCCTCCTTAGAGATTTTCTGACAAAAGTTGGATAACCATTTGTCAAGAATGTCATAGAGGGGTTTTTGTTAAGGCATGGATGCCTTCTGGAGTCATTTCTAACTCAGTGTCAGTCATTCTGTGATTCTGGATATGATTACCAAGGGAGAGTGTGCAGAGGGAGAAGAGAAGAAGGTGTAGGACAAAACCTTGGGGACACCTACATTTATTTGAAGGGCAGCAGGCCACAGAAGCAATGACCAGAGAGGGCACTGCCATCAGGGAGCACTTGGTAGTCTATAATTTGCAGAGATGTCAAGGAGGCCAAGGACAGAAATATACCTCTTGGACTTGGTGATAAGGAGGTCATTAGGAGCACTCTCTCGTCTTCGAGAGAGCTTTTTTCTTTAGATTGGTGGGCATGGAAGTCAGATTGCAAAAATTGGAGCAGTAAATGGGTAGAGCAGTAAGGGGGTACAATGAGTGCACCCCACTCCTTCTCGGGGTTCGAGGAGTTTGCCAGTGAAGGCAAAGAGATGTAGAGTAGTAGTTTGAGGGATATTAGGCAGCATCAAAGGAAACTTCTATTAGGCTGAGGAAGATCTTGCCATGTTTGCAGGCTAGACGTAGAGTGTGGGCCAGAGCTAGAATCGACATTAATGTGAGGGGAGGGATTGATAGAGCAAGGTCAAGGACAAGGCAGGAGGAGATAGTATCAGGGGTATATAGATGGAACGGTTGACATTCAGCAAGGAATGAGATCTGTCTCTTCCTCCAAAACTGGAGGAAACGAGATAGGTAAACATATTAAAAGAATTAAAAAGTTGGAGGAGGGGCAAAATTGAGAGAATTCATATTGGATGGTCTGAATTTTCTCATTAAAGTAGTATAGATGAGGTCGGGGGTGTCAAAGATAGAGTTGGGAGTATGAAAAGTGGAGGTTTAGAACAGCTTTTGTGATAAGTGTGATAAAGGGGCATTAGGGAAGGGAGAAGAGAATAAGCATTTATATAGTGACTACTACATGTTGGCACTGTGCTAAGCACTCTTTTATTTAACAAATTTTATCTTATTTGATCCTCACAACAACCTTGGGAAGTAGGTACTGTTATTTTTCCCATTTTTGAGATGAGGAAACTGAAGCGAACAGAGGTTAAGTGACTTGCCTAGGGTTACACAGCTAGTAAGTGTCTGAAGTTGTACTTGAACTCAGGTCTTCCTACCTCTAGGCCCAGGGTTTCGTCCACTGCACCACCTAGCTGCCTGTAGTAGGTGATGAGCAAAAGAATTGCCCTGTGACAGTGAAGGCCTAGTGTAAATGCATGGTGGATCCAGTTAGCCCCATTTCATGACTTCCTCCAGCCCTGCTTAGAAGCTTAAGGATGAGGATTGGGGCTAGCAGGGCTGAACGGTGAAGAGGCCAACTGGTGAGGGATGCCAGGATGGAAGAGAGGGCCTGCTTGAAGAAATCAGTAAGAGGTGCGACAAGTTCAGCAGGAGTATGGAGAGATGAGGGAGCCGGGAGCGGTAGAAGGACAGGACCAACCATGGATTGGTGCAAACTCAGAATGCTTTAACTAAATTCTGTAATGAATTCTCACTTGGAAGAAAGCTCCGAAAAGAAAGCTATCAGCTCTTTTATTTTGCTTCTCAGGAAAATTTTGAGAAGGCCAGCCTGAGCAGCAGCAGCAGTGGCGGGGCCAGCTTGAAAAGCGAGCTTTCTGAGAGTGCTGACCTTCCCCCAGAGAGCTTTCAGCAACCCTGTGGGAAAGACGAAGACAGAGCTTGTGATGAAATCTTGTCCGATGATAACTACAACTTAGAAAATATCGAAAAAGGTGAGGGCATTTGTAAAGATGTCAGCACTGACCTATTTCTCATGTTTTCTGTTCCAAGATTCACTCATGTCTCTTTTTTGTTGTATAGACACATATTCGGAATTAGATGATGAGCTAGACATCTCTGATAACTCCAGCAACTCTAGCTCAAGCCCTTTGAAGGAGTCAACATTTGGTAAGCCATCTACCAAGGGCCATCTAAACCATTTCATAATTCCCAGTCAGCAATGTGCTGAAGTTGTTGTTGTACTTGGGGAAAACGGAAGGGTACAAGCATCTACATGCTGTTATATGCCAGGCAAGGTAGTAAGTCCTTTACAAATATCATCTTATTTGATTCTCACAATAATCCTAGGAGGTCGGTGCTGGTATTATCCCCATTTGACACTTGAGGAAACTGAAGAAGGCAGAAGTTAAGTGACTTGCTCAGGGTTACACAGCTAAAAGTGTTTGAGGATGGGTTAGAACTCATGTCTTCCTGACTTCAGGCACAGTGCTCTATCCGTTGTAACACCTTGCTTCCTTGGAACAAAGAAATGGCAAAGCAGAACTCTGGCCAGCTCATACAGAGCATTTTGTGTAGTATTCTAGTAAGGCCTGACATTCCAGCCATCACAGTACCATTTATTTCCCTACCCCAGCTTCACGTGGATGGGTTTGACTATTTTTACTAGCAAGTACAGGAACTGTCAAGGAAATTTTAAGGGATCTGACTATCTGTTATGGACCAGGAGCTAGCTTAATTGTGATCATAGCAATTATTTGCTTTGGTTGTTGTCCTCCAGTGAATTTTATTGTTAATATATTGTCCTCAGAGAGGACTCAGTGAATGAGTAGGCCAAGAACATTACCTGAAGGGATATTTGCAGTTGTCCTCCTTAGGAGCACAGCTGGTCCTTGCGTCTCCTCCATTCTGCTTGCTGTTACAGACTGAATTTACCCACTGGACTAGGAGGAATGTCCATATCCATAAACATGCAAGGCTGACCCCAGAAGTTTTCATGCGGCCATTTCAGCTACATTCAGAGCCATGCTTTTGTAATATGTAATAAAGTGTTTGCAGAGCTTATCCCTCTGTAGGCTGATTGGTTCATCCTGGACAGCACTCAATTGAAATAGAATCCAGAGCACTAATGGAGTTGGCCACAGTGCAGGCACCTCAGCCGCCATTTGGAATTTCCAAAGGCCATTTGAGAATAGGTCATTGAAGCCCTTCCTGTCCCAAGACAAATTGGTTACCAAGTTGGGAAGAACCTGGTGGTAAATTAAAGTCTTTTAAAGTGTGCAAACCTCAGTTGGCACGCTGAAGTTCACAGACACTGAGTGGCTTACCGCGATGGTGTCAAACTCAAGTAGAGATGGGAGCCAAAGCTGGGCCTCAGCTTGGCTTAGAAAACCACATATTAACATTATCTATGTTCTACTGTATTTTTATTTCTTTTGATAAATATTTTCCAATTACATTTTAGTCTGGTTTGGGCCGTGTTTGATACCCGTGCTTTATAGTATGTTGAATCCTTCAAGCTCAACCATTTGCAGAGGGATTGGAGACGTCTAATTAAAATTTTCTAATATGACTAAGCAGGAAACATTGTAAGACACTCAGTCATTCCAAGACTCTGTGTGCTTAGTTCAATCTCAGACTGGACTTTAAGGGATGGTGCTGCTTCTTTATGCCCATCACCGTGTAAGTTCACTGTCACATGAATTTAATTTAGTTTGTTATTTTCTCCTGCCTCTTCTTTTTGGTTTCATTTTTTGTGCTTCTCTTTTTTTCTTTAGCTTCAGTTATTTTTTTCTTCTTTCTTTTATCCACTTCCCACCTGTATTTCGTTGCAATACTTAAAAGATAAAAAAAGAAATCTTTTAGTCAGGAAACCTGAGCTTGAATATCATCTCTGAAAGTTACTAGTTATGAAATCATGGGCAAAAAACACTTACTGTCTTGGGGCCTCTGTTACCCCATCTGTAAATCTTGGATAATAATACTTGAACTACCCTCCTCACAGAATTATTGTCAGCAAAGTACTTTATACACCTGAAAACACCCTAGAGATGTGGTCTATTGTGAAATGTCTGTGTGGAAAAAAAAGTTACTTTAAAACTCTAGCAAAAATAATTTTTTTCTAATGTTATATTTTCTACTTATGCTCTTAAGAATCTTTCCAGTATTTTAAATTGATCACATAACAGAAATACTGTAAAATAGAAATCTAAGTTTTTCAAACATAAAACATCATTTTAGAGAGCAAAATGCAATTACTATTCTGTGTATATATTTGTTTCAGGCATATTAAAACGAAGTTTCAGTGCTTCTGGAGGAGAAAGACAGTCTCATGGAAGGTCAGTAAAATTTTAGCTTTCAGAAATATTTTAAGCTTTGCAAAGTCAGGAAATTACTAATTGGGCTGGCTGCTGGAAAAAAAATGCCTGATGTTTTACATTACGTAAGAGGTTAGGATGTATCATGTTGATTTTTGTTCGTATGACTGGGTACTATGTATGCCCTGATATAAAAAGAATGTTTTCAGAGGGTGGTTGGAAGAGGTAGGTAGAAAAGTAAATATTCTGGTACACATAGAAAAAATCTGTCAGATTAAGTACAGGTTTGCTCTAGTTTGCGATGACCTAGTATCTGAGTTTATTAAGATAGTTATTGTAAGGTATAGATCTTTGAATTACCCAGATTCTTAATTTTACAAAATGAGCTCCAAAACCTACTCCCCTATCACACGTAGAACAATCTAGATTAAATAAATTCTGTGGCTACAATATATCACAAAGATCCCCTTTCTTGAATTATCATAGAAAATGTTTGTCACTAGGTAAGTCCTTGAATTGTTTGAAGAGTAGTAATTGCATTCCTGTATCAGCAGAAGGCAAACAGCTCAGTTTGTACCTTGGAGCATCCCTTGTAATGGTGATATGGTGGCAGGGTCTCTGTGGTGAGGCCCAGAGCCAACTGGGCAGGCCGGTTGTGTTGATGGAAAACAGTAGATGCTCTGAGGGAGGAAATTAGTGCCTGCAGGAGATGTAGGCAGCATGTAGAGGACACATTCTGAGGGATACAGGTCCTGACTTCAGCATAATTGAGCCTTCAGTAAGCAAAGAAAAATTTATTGAGCACTGTACAATCTGCTAGAAAGACGGAGAACACAGAATCACAAGAAATTGGTCCCACCCTTATTGGCCCTGTTTTATTGAGGAGATGTGACATATACTCTTGAAAAGATAGCAAAAATGAAAGGCACATGTATGTGTCTAATGGGTGGTGCAGAAGCAACAACAAAAAAGAAAAATAAGGTAAGGAAAGAAGAAGTCCCAACTTTTGGACTTCATTAAGATAATCCCCAAGGCTTATAAAAGGACTTATTTATAATCCTTAGAAAGTATTAAAAAAGGGCAACATGTTATTCACCATATAATTAATTTTATATATTCTTCTAGATGTGTTTTTATTAACCTTTAATAAAAGAATATTTATAAATTATTTAAACTTCAATGAGCTACTAGAATGTAAAACATTTGTCGAGAAGAGAGAGCCAGTCCATCAGCGAGTACTGTTCAGTGTTTACTATGTTCCAGGTTCGGTGTAAGGAGCTGGTAGTACAAACACAACGAGTGAATGGAACAGTCCCTACCCTCAAAGAGGTTACATTCTGGCAGAAGGTGACAAGGATGCCACCAACCCTACGGAGAATAAACACAGGGAGGTCAGGGTGGGAGGGAGGGAGAGCATATATAGAGCCCCTTCTATGAGCAAGTAATGTTTGAGCTGTGTCTTGGAGGAGAGCAATTCTATGAGATGGAGGTGATGGGAGAATTCATTCCAGGGTTGGGGTGCAAAGGCAGATGGTGCAAAGAAGAGAGTTCTTTTTCTGGAGGTGGATAACCTTTTCCATCATGAGCCTTTTGGAATTGTCTTAGATCATCGTGTTGTCAAGAAGAACTAAGTCAATCATAGTTGATCATCACACGGTGTTACTGTGTATAATGTTCTCCTGGTTCACTTTTCATCAGTTCATGTAGGTCTTTTCAGGTTTTTCTGAAATCATCCTGCTTGTCATTTCTTATAGCATAGTAATATTCTATCACAATCATGCACCACAGCTTCTTTAGCCATTCCCCATAGCAGTTTATTGAGTAGAAGAGAGACATGGTCAGATGTTTGCTTGAGGAAAAACATTTTGACAGAAAAAACATTGAATAGAATCTAGGAAAAAAAGTTGTTAAAAAAAAAGCAAATCAGTGTAATCATTTTGGTTGTAGTGAATTATTCATGAGACAGTATATCTTTTAGAGACTTGTGAGATATAAAAAGAAGACGGGCATTTCCAAGTCAGGGAGCTCTTAGATTAGGCCTGCACAACCTGCGGCCTGCCAAAGGATTTTGGGCGGCCTGTGAAAAATGTAGAGTACATCCTCTATATTTTTGGGGGGGTTCTTTTCTTTTCTTTTTTTCTTAATTTATTTTGATTTGTCAACAATTGCTTTCATAAGCTTTTGAGTTTTAAATTTTTCTCCCTCTCCTTCCCCCCTCCCTCCCCAAGATAGCTCGCAATCTGATATAGGCTATACATATACATTCCTATTAAACATATTTTCACATTAGTGATGTTGCAAGGAAGAATTAGAACTAATAGGGGGAACCATCAGAAAGAGGAAACAAAACAAAACATAAGAAAAAATAGCAAATAGTATGCTTCTATCTGCATTTTCTGTGGATGTGGATGTGGATAGCATTTTCTATCATGAGACCTTTGGAGATGTCTTAGATCCTTGCATTGCTGAGAAGGGCTAAGTCTATCAACATTAGTCATCGCACAGCGTTGCTATTACTGTGTACAATGTTCTCCTGGTTTGCTCATTTTACTCAGCACCAGACCATACAATCTTTCCAGGTTTTTCTGAAGTCAGCCTGTTCATCATTTCTTATAGCACAATAGTATTCCATTACATTTATATACCACAACTTGTTCAGCCATTCCCCAATTGATGGGCATCCTTTCAATTTCCAATTCTCTGCCACCACAAAAAGAGTTGCTATAGCTATTTTTGTACATGTGGGTCCTTTTCCCATTTTTATGCTCTTTGGGATACAACCCTAGAAGTGCTATTGCTGGGTCAAAGGATATGCACATTTTTATAGCCCTTTGGGCATAGTTCCAAATTACTCTCTAAAATGGTCAGATCAGTTCACAACTCCACCAGCAATGCATTAGTGTTCCAGTTTTCCCACATCTTCTTCAACATTTATCATTTTCCTGTTTTGTCATGTTGGCCAATCTGATAGGTGTGATGTGGTCATCCTCTACATTTTGTGGGCTGCCTGAAATCCTTTGGTGTGCTGCAAGCGTCCCGTGGGCCGCAGGTTGTGCAGGCCTGTCTTAGATAAGTGAGAACCCAGTGCATAGTTAACTTGGTGGAGGGCAGCATGAAGATATTAACAATGAGTTACACATGTGCTGTGAAGATAGTAAATACTTGATAAATGTTAGTTGGATGAACACATGCATATGATAGATGAAGATGGGTCAAGATCTAAGATTATCCCCTGGACTCAGTTATTCCAGCTTCATGTTTTATACAGTTAACCATCTCAGCCCATAAAATAATATAGTGCAGTATAACACATGTATATAACAGTAGCAACAACATCAACAGTAATAGTACACTGATGCTCCAGGTATCAATGGAGCTTGCAGGCAGCATCCCAAAGAGCTGCTCATAGACTGCTCAAAAGTCCGCACACGTGTGGACAAAAGTTTTCAGGCAGATGTTCCAGGAGAGTCATTTTGGTGACATGAGAAGGATCCGTATTGGATTTATAAGATTTATATCTGCAAAACACTAATTTGCAGATATTTATTGGAGACTTACTATGGACAAGGCAGCGTGGTGGGTGCTAGCAGGCGTAGGAAGGCGAGGAAGATAATCTCCACTCTCCTTGAGCTTAGATTCTAGTAGAGCAGAGAAGATACATATACGAATGACTGGTATCTTTTTTCTATAAGCATGTTTGCTAGCCTTCTAATGAAAAAAAATCAGTAGAAAATTTTGGTAATTTTAAATGTTCCTTTAAATTTCCTTAGGAGCTGAGAAAGACAGAATGTATCATTTTATGGGTGGGTCAATGGCATGAAAACTAAAGCTGAATGAAATCACAGACATTATAATTGCTGAAAGGAATTGAGATATAAGACAGATGTTTTGTAACGTGGTCAAGGGAAGAAGAATGTGTATCTGAACTAGCCATGATGTGCAATGCTTCTCATTTCACGTCTAGTTTTAGCATCAAAGCAAAACTTACAATGCACTTAAGTGCAAATTCCTTGCCTTTGACAAGCTTTTGAAGGCTCAAAGGCAGAAAAGAACAGTTCTCCCATAAAGCCACCCCTACTCGGTGAGAAGGAGTAAACCCAATGCCCAGACTACAGGACTTAGAGCAGGAAACACTCATACCTTCTTCACCTTTGTGTCAGAGGCAAGTCGTTTCAGTGACCTGTTGCAATAGGGTCTCTTGAGAGTCTGAAGCAGAGTCAGTGGGGACGGGGTTTTGTGAGAGAAATACTGTGCAGATAGAAATGAGATTTGCCGACTTATTGGCTGTGAGAAGTGACTGAGAAAGAGGAGCCGGGGTGACAATGAGGTTGCATAGCTAGGTAACTGGAAGGATGGTGGTGCTGGGGACAGAAGTAGGCAAGTTGGGAAGAGGGCTCGGTTTGGGTGAAAGCCGTTAAGCCTGTTTTTCACATGTTCATTCCGACTTGCTTGTGAGGCGATCAGTGGGAAATGATGCATAGCCAATCGGTGATTTGGGGTTGGAATTGGGGAAAGAGACTTAGCGCTTGTTCGTGTTGTGGTGGTTGTTTGTCCTTCATTCTAGAAGGGGACTGTGACATAGGGAGGTGATGCCGTGACATGCGAGTGAATTGGATTTAAGTGAGGAAGGTCTGTACAGAATCATCTGGCCACACCTCCTCCTCAGCCATCTGGGTCCAGCGACCAGATGTGGATCAGGACCACTGGAGAAGGTGGTACTCATCAGCATAGAGATGATAATTAGGTCCATGTGACTAATGAAGTCACCAAGAAAGAGAACATAGAGAAGAGGGCCGAGGATAGATCCTTGGGGGTTTATCTAGTTAGGTAGGCAGGATATGGAGGATGGTCCTTCAAAGGGACCTGAGAAGTAGTAGTCACATGGGTAGGAGGAGAACCTGCAGAGAGTGACATCATAAGAACTCAGAAAGGAAGGTGCCTTCGGGAGGGGGAGGCAGTTCGCCTTGTCAGATGCCACAGAGAAATGAGTAAATAGGTCTGAGAAAACGTCATTCGATTTG